GTGTGTTGTGTGTGTGTGTGTGTGTGTGTGTGTGTGTGTGTGTGTGTGTGTGTGTGTGTGTGTGTGAGAGAGAGAGAGAGAAAGAATGAGAGAATGAGCGCGATTTTCCCGGAATGTTGATGATAGTTTCGACGGCTGTTTCGACATCAATCCGCTCTTGGCGTTTCGCGTTTCGAAATTCGGGCGATCACGCGGGATCACTTCGATCCTCTCTCGTTCCTGCGTAATCGCCTGACGAGGAATCGAGTACCCGAAATCGATTACCGAAAGAAGTTTCGGAACGAGGACAACGCATAGATATGTGGCACGTACGTGCTAGATTTTACTAGCGGAAACGAATAACGGTAAAGGCTCCATCTCATGTAATATTTTTATTATCGCAAGCGTAATATTATATAAATATATATATATAATTAAATTATATTATTAAATAAAGGGATTATGCCACTGTTTATTATTTATTGACTAACGTTCGACTAATATTGTAAATAATAACGAAAATATTTTATCTATATTTCCGATCTCCGGAGGGGCGCCGGGCGGGGGTGGCGTATTATCTCTTGTCCGCCCTCGCGGCGATTATTACGATCGTCGTTTCGCCCGCCCCTCTATTGTTACACCATTTCATCACATTGCATTTAATAAATTATATATTTATTGACTCACATCTACTTTTCACTTGCCCCAATTCTTTCTCTCATCCCCTGTCCCATTTATCCACCACCTCTCCGACTTACTTTTCTTGCAAATTTTTCTTTCTTCGAAAATTTAGATACTATCAATTTTGGAAAATTGCTACCAATATTTAAGTACTTATAAGTTTCAAGAATATTTGCCAATAAAGTAAAGAAGAAAGATTTGTCATAATAAATTACTTAATAAATTAGATATGTAACATTAAACACTTTATTAAGAAATCAGAGCAAGGAAAAATAAAAACAATCTGTTAAATTATAATACTTCGCGAATAATTGTTTCAGTTAATCAATCCGTAATAAAATACTGATTGCAAGAGTTAATTTAATACGAATGCCGGATATTGTAGTTGCGTCTGGACCGGGATATGGCGAATAATACAATTACGGTAAGTTAAGGAATATCCGGGCAAATAACGATCCTAGAATACGTCGGAGGAGTTGCTTGTAGAGCTTCTATTGATGCTGAGAGAAACTTCCAGCTGCTCAAAGTTCCAACTGCTCATCTCTCTCGAGTGGAGTGTCGAATTAAGACTTCGCGAACCGCTAAATTTAACGATCGTATTCATAGCACAGAAGTAATAATCCTTTCTCCCTTTATCTCTAATGTCTGAGCTGTTTCATGGAGAAACGCATGGAATAATATCTCTCAGAGATCAGGAGATCATCTCGCAGATCAGGAGACGAGTGGTTCAGAAAAGATTTATTTACCGTCTTCCTTCCGCAACAGTTTATTTAAAGCATACAAACGGTACAAACTTTATTGCTGTCACTTTGCATATAAATTAAATTAAGTTCGCTCGAATATCATGCGTATGAGCAGAAGAGAGAGAGAGAGAGAGAGAGAGAGACTAGGAAAGATAGGAGTGAATTGGAGAGGAACGAAAAGGCAAACACGGCTCTGTGATTTTTTGAAGCTGCCGCGAGAGCGGAGAATCGACCGGCGTCCAAGATTTTCCCCAGAGAATTCGATTCACTCGCCGTCGAGCGAGCGAGCGGCACGATTCTATTCACGCGTCGTTGCGCTCGTCGATACGATTGCTATTCTATTTTTTTCTTCTTTTCAGGCTTTTCTCTCTACCATTCCATCCGTCCCGATATTTCTTTCATCCTATATCGCGTCGTGCGCCGAGCGTATGAATCCAATATTCGTCAAAGTGACACGAAGAATGATCTGCGGTAAACCGCAGAAAAGCAACGTGTTTTGCAACTAGAAATGCGAGAGCGTTGAGATTGGCTTGTCCAGGAAATTTTGGATAATAGAAAGATTAGTTCAAAACAGAGAACGTCTATTTTTTATTTCATTAATTTCGTCTGCGTTGTTGTCAGCTTCGATGCGAGAAGAATAGAAAGCGAGCAAATAATTATCAAAATTTAGCTTATAAGTTTTCTCTTAAGCTGTTTATTTGATGATTAACCCTTGCGTAAATGTGAATTTCGTTAATATTGATTTAGCAATCGTCAACAAAGATATTTCAAATTTCACACGGATCAATCAGAGTTACTAATTAGTTACAATGCAATCAAGAATAAACAACTGCTTCCATTTTTGGAACAATGGAAAAATTATTTTCGTACTTCTTTATTTCGTTAATCAAAAACCATGAATCGTTAGACGAGAACTATAACAAATTTATTACGTTCAGATAACAAAGATAATCTTTTCAATAATAAAAAGTAAAATAAAATATATTTAATTTCGTAAAATATAAATACTATGTAGATGGCTTTTCGATAAAGAGAAGATAAAAGTAAGAATATTAATACTTTAAAAAGACAAACTGTAATAATATTTTACTTCTGATAAAATTTTATATATTTGCAGAATGTCTGTACATAAAAAGTCATTAAATTGAAAAATCTTTTACATATATTTTTCAAGATGTTGTACATCGATTTTATTTTATAAGGTGGTAACAATAATATATTCTCCATAATATATGAAAGTATTTCTCATGTCTTATTTTTTTTTTCTATTTGAATTCAATTTCGAGCTTTACCGAATGTTAGAAGATTCCAGATGAAAAAGTCTCCATATTGGTGCAAAAAACTATTCGAGATTATTGAAACTCGATTCCACAGATATTCTCTCGGACTCTCGTAGACATCATGGATACAGATATTTTTCGAGTATATAAAATACGCGACATCGTGTAAAGATATTTTCTGAATATTCGCTCATCATTAATGGCATTAATAAACGCGAATATAAATATAGATCAGCGTAGTATCCGTTTGATGAAAAGAGCTCTTGCACAATGTTAAATAAAACGTAAAATCGACGAATTCAGAATACTTGGACCCGATGATTCTCGCGGTCGCAGACGACGATGTTGCCACTGGATGTAACGGCGACGCCCTCGAGGCCTTTAAATTCACCGTCGCCGCTGCCCCAGCAACCGAAAGATTTCAGGAAAGCACCGTCGGGACTGAAGATCTGTATGCGGTTATTGCCAGAGTCGGCAACGACGATGTAGCCTTGATCGTCCACGGCAACGCCCCGCGGGAACTTAAACTGGCCCTCGTCTGAACCCTCCGAGCCGAAGGATGTCAACACGCGGCCATTCACGTCAAATATCTGCACACGGTGATTGTTGCCGTCGCTAACGATCACTCGATTGGTGTTGCTCACTGCGATATAATGCGGGTGTTCTAATTGGCCGCGTCCGCTACCGCACGAGCCGAACTTGCCTACGAACGTGCCGTCCGATTGAAATACCTATGCAAATTCATAAGCAACGTTCATTAAAACTATCGAGAGAATAGTCGAGTGTTTCAACAAGACAATGCAATCGAAATTCGATATTCGGCCTCTTTTCATTATTTTTATTTATTTTTGACTTTATTTAAACCCAATATTTTACGCGTCTCATCAAAAAGCTGCAAGTTAATTGCAAGAGGAAAAGTAGGGGAATTCAATGCGCGCTGTTCTCCCGAATAATCAGATTCTGATTCAAGTCAAGTTGATTGATTAACTTTGCGATAGGACACGCACCTGCACGCGATGATTCTCCTTGTCGCATACGTAGATGAATCCGAGGGCGTCGGTGGTGATGCCCCAGGGATAATTGAATCGGCCGTCGGCGGTGCCCTGGGAGCCGAAGGCCCGCAGAAAGCGGCCGGACGGATCGAGCACCTGGATCCTGTGGTTATAGCGATCCGCGATGATGTACTGCCCGATCCGGTTTACGGCCACCCCGGCGAGGCAATCGAACTCGCCCTCGCCGCTGCCGTAGGTTCCGAACTCCTTCATGAAGTTCCCATTACCGTCGAATACCTGCGAATCGAAAACGGTGCGCGGTGATCGGTGATTTACATCGATCGAGGGCTGATATTAAAATTGGATCGCGGCCAGGACGAGGAATTTTCCCTCGTTCCTTCGCCGGCTTATTTACGATCTGCTACGCAAAATGTCTACGAGCTGCCTCTGCTTCACCATAGGGGATGGACTATTATCGCGATGGTTCAGCGAGGATTGCTTCTCGCACATATAGTCAAGACCGAATTTAACAAATTATTATTCCAAATTAGTTTTACTGATATAATTTTTTTAAATTATATCTAATTTTTATACGGCAACGTATAACACGGTTATATAATAATTTATTCATTTCAAGACTTGTCGTTGTGCCGTTGTTTTACTTGCTAAATGATTTCGCTTCTCTTGACGTTGCAGTCAGACGTAAATCGAGTTTGAAAATTAAATTTTACAGAGATAACGGGAAAAATTGGCTTACCTGAACACGATGGTTGGAGCTGTCGGCCACGACGATGGAATTGTCCGGGCCGACCGCGAGGCCTCTCGGCCAGGTAAAGCATCCGGCTTCGCTCCCCCGCATCCCGAATTTAAACAGCTGCCGCCGCTTCAGCAAGTAATGACTCCTCCGACCATTGCTGGAAGAGAAAGGAGCAAACTGGGATATAGCGGAGCTCTGTATCTTCATCATTGCGCACCGCTGTTCTTAGAGGAATGTTTTTCGTAAATCCACTTTTCAAGAGAGACGCGATGTTTCACTCCGGTGGAAACAGCGGTAGATCTTTGAGAATTATGGCTGCACGAGAAAGTGCCGGAGAGAGAAAGAGAGAGGAAACGCGGCGGATAACGAGGATAAAGTGTTTTGATTGCAATGGCTGACTCCTCGCTGCGCCGAACGGCGACCTCCTCCGGCTCGAGCACGCTTGTCCGTGGCATATTTAGAAAGTCTCGTGCGTTCTTTCTAGTGGATAGTGCGCATCGCATCCTTTCTTATAAACCACGGGACTCACTTCCCTCAGACTTCGTCAGTATCGAACCGGTAGAATCGGAGCGAGACTTTACAGCCCGCACTCTACCTTTTCTCTAAATTGTATCTCGCAAGAGAGATACGACGATTTTATTTCCAAACTTTACGTTCAAATAAAAAGAGATTACTACTCCATAATGCCATACGGAAGGCTAGGATGTCGGGATTGTCAAAGCGTCACGTTTGTTTTTTTTTTATGTTGTCTCTTACGTAAGACGCTAACGTTTATATAAGCAGCCATTTGAGGGATGCTTTTATGCCATCCTTGTGCTCTTATGTAACGTAATGTGATTAAAACTCACCTAGTGGAGGAACCTGCTGCCGCGGGTATAACGGGAACTGCTGTAGGGGACGTGGGGGAGCCTGACGGGTTTTTTTGGTCGTCGTCAGAAGATTCAAAGGATGTTTGCCCGGTGTGCCTCAGAGGCAAGCCCAGCGATAGCCTTCTTGAAGCAGCGCTAGTGCTGTGGGAATTATTTCGATTATGGTACAAAATTAATAATTAATAATCGACCAGAGATGATCAAATTGAGCTATTTTTGCTTCTTTCACAATAATAACGTTCTATATCACGCGTTCTATATATTAAGCTCACGCATTGACGTGATCTGCAATAAATATGATGATGTGCTTAATAACTATATCAGTTACAATGCGTAATATTCTGAATCATTGTGCATACAATGCGATTAAAACCTATTGATACCGCATACAATTGGCTGTTATACTATTTGCAATATCACTCGTGATTTATATTCATTATGTGGAAAATAGACAATTAATTAGTACATCCGCGCGTGGAAGTTTCCGTTATTCAAATATTTGCGATAAACACGGCTCTGAAACTCTGAAACAAATTTTGAAGATCAGATTCGCCTGTCCTCCGTCAAACGTATTCCACATATTCGAGCCTGCTCACCTGGACGAAGGTATCGTGGAGGACGAGGAGGGCGGTTCCTTGTCCTTGGCGGTGCGGTTGCCGTATTTGTTCTTAAGGTACCTGGCCCAGGAGCTCAAGGCCGCGCCGTCCTTCTCCGTTCCCGGTCGATCGCGTTCCGGGCTCGGCTCTCTCGACTTCAGGGCATGAGTACTGCGGCTACGTGCCAGCTCGGAGCCGGCGCCATATTTCGCCGCCAGATAGGCGTTCGGCGACTGGGTCGTAGGTGATGGTGGTTCCTCGTCCAGGTCGAGGTCGTCGCCGCCGAAGTTGTGCGAGCTCCTAGAACGAGCCAAACGTTGCCGGCGCTCCTTCAGGGCCGCGTAGCGCGATCTCGCCGACAAAGGCGAGTCGATCTCCGCGTCCACGTCCCTTTCGCGTTCTCGTTCACGTTCTCGTTCGCGTTCGCGCTCGCGTTCACGCTCGCGTTCACGCTCGCGTTCACGCTCGCGCTCGCGTTCGCGATCGCGTTCACGTTCCCGTTCCCGGGACGCCATCATCGCCGCCTGGCTCCTGCTCTTGTTCAGAAACCTGAAACATCAGTCAAATAGCACATTCAGTTCGTCTGTATTGGAAATTTATTATTTTTGTTAATATCGCGAGATGGAATTATTTTATTACTCTTGTAAAAACAACTTTATGACATGTAAAAAATTTTAGAATTTTTCATTCTCTAAGAAAATCATCAATTTTTATAATCGAACAGGTTATTAAAATAAGTTAATTATTAATTTTATTATTTTGAACATTTTAAGAAATCACAAAAGTTTTTGAATTTAGAAAATTCTGTAGGAAACTTCTCTATGGAAAAGTTACTTATACAAGAGCAAAATTCCATTCAACGTATATATATATATCCAATTCAACAGTGACATTTATAACAAATAATTTCTGTAAAATGCAATAAGATAATTAAGCAGCAATGTATGTGTAATCTTGTTTAATCTTTTTGCGTCCACATGTATTTACTTAGATAATACCTAAGCTGTCTACAAAGAATTAAGCATAACAGAGATAACAGATTCATTGTTAATTGTGGAAAAAAGTTAAAACGATTAAATTTGACTTTCCATTATATATATATATTTTTTTAAAATAATTTTGTTAACCTATCTCCGTAAACATTCGGATTACCCGAACTTCCCTCGAATTTTCCATGTATAAAATAGTGTATTAAACGATATAGTTCCTTCATATTTTCTGACGATCAACTATCCCGGGCGTTTTTCGAGGCACTCTCGAGTGCCCAGCTTTTCTCGCTCGATCTGGACCGCGAATCGTTCAAGCTGAATTCGAGTAGATTTCGGGTAATCGCACACCCTAAACATTGAAGGGTACGCGAGAGTGCCTCGACCCCGACACGCATGCGAGAAAGACGATACCCATCGCGAGCGAATGGTATCTCTGCGGTCGTATTTTCGAGTGAGACCTCGCATCGGGCTATTTCGGTACATGTGTGCCGCATAGCACAGGCTGCGGCATGCAAACACGTATGGATGCAATATCGTATAACGAAAACGCTTATCGGCGAACACGGATGGACAATACGTGGTATGTCTATTTTAAAAACTCGCTATTTTCAAAATAAAAACGATCCAAAAATGATACTTTCCCTATGCGCATCGCTCCTATATTTTTCTTTAAGCTTTTTATTTATTAACAATTTTGGCATATGCTCACGAAAATGCGAGAGAAAGTTTTTTTTCATCGAAAAAACATAACTTAATTGAAAGAAATTATTTTTTTTTTCAAAATTATATATTTATCATTGTAATTTTGTAAAATTGGTACTGTACTGATTAAACTTTATTTTCGCACTAATTATGCCCTGTATAAATAACAAATTACGTATTTTGCCAATTACACGGACGTATTATATTATAATTACCTCGTATGATGCCCATATTTGAAGGAGATGTGCTATTTACGCGAAACCGAGAAGCGTACGCATTGCACGCGAATATTAAAAGACACAATAATACGGGCGTGTCGTAAATTGCATACGCTAATGAGTACGAGAGAGTACTCGGAGTAACGAAGTTAAGGAGCTAACTGCTTTTCATGTACATGTTGGTAGACCTTATGCCGGTACCACTATCTCGTTTATGGGATTAAGCTTATGAGGACGAGATTTGCATTTGATTGTCCGCAAATCTATCCATTGTCCGTAATATACGAAATTCTTGCAATCTCGTGTGTTGTTGTACGGAAAGTTATGCCGGGACATACATATGCGGACGCATGAGATTTTAATGTCATCTCAGCCTCTAAACAGACTGACTTTTGATATTTCGCGGTTTCCATAGCGCATACAAACGACAAATAATGAGGGCACACAGATAATGCCTTGCGAAATATCAAGCTTTCTCTCTTCTAGCTCAAAGCGTTATTACAGATGTGGAAAATCATTATTATTATTATTATTATTATTATTGTTATTATTATTATTATTATTATTATTATTATTATTATTATGTAAAATCATTTTGAATACATTAATTCAACGAGATAACAATGAGATAAGCTGCGAGATCAGTATAATTAATTTCTGCGCTAATTGCATCTGAAGTGTGGTCTGTACACTTGCCGGAAGCGTTCATCGTCAGTGAGCAATTTACAGTAGAAGATGTCGCTACAATTATCGGATCGTGACACTGCAGGTTTTACACTTTCGGCTGTAATTTGAAAAAAATAGATCTATGCTTACGAAGCAGCCACTGATTTGATTCGATTCCAGCTCCATGGATGAGTGCAACCATCGGCGACCACCGATGCGGCGCACTTTTTATCACAGATTCGTGAGACATCCTGTATACATGACTATGATGAATATGCAGATAAGTGATATGTTTTACTGTGATTCGTACATACGTCATGCACATCATTCCCGTAAGCAATTTTATGAAGCAAAAGTTAGAGCTGTTATTCTTTTATTACAAAATGATCAGAAGAATTGGAGGCTAAAGATAGTAATCAAAATACTTGGAGAAATATTCAAAATTTTAGATCGGCAAATGCTTTCGCTTCGGATTTTATTACGTTAAAATTCTATTTGATCGAAAATTATTCTAACATATGGCACATAACATTCTAATCACGTCGTGTACAGACAATAACAGCTCATGTAAATGATCACCGCTGATTAAGCACACAAATAACTGGGGAAGTGTAAATCTCATTGTATTAAACTGTAATTAACATCCCGGGGGCAAAGTTAGCGTTGCGTAGGGCGAACTGCGCGATGCGGATGAAATTTTCGGATTGCGTCACAAACAATGTTTGTGTAGGTTCGCTCGAATTTGAGAAAGTTCATGAATGTCCGTAAACTTCGGTATAAACATAGTTTATCGCGCGCCCGGTTTGTATGACTTTGCACTGAACCCCCCCCCCCAACTAAGTTCGTATTTCGCCATATTAGGTCGGGTCCCAGTGCATCGGTAGAACCAACGTGTCACGAAGTAAGAAGTTTTCAGTTTACGAAACTGGTAGATCAGATTGCGGTGTGGATCGATGGTTCTACATTTCTCCCAAACGGCTGTGCAGGAGCTGCGAAGTTTCGACAGTGTCGATTCGTTATAACGGCGAGCGGCGTGTTCAACGTGCTAAGAATACCGCCTAACATTATGCAGTAATCCATTTTCGGACGCGCGAATGTATTTTTGTAGTCGAAATTATATCGTGGGAAAGCGACACGGTCTCTAGATAGCGATAATAAAAATTAATATTGTAAGTCACAAATAAATTAATTTCAATTATTACTCTTGGTATTGATCTGCCATTAATATTGCTGAAAAAAATATAACTAATTTATATTGAATGCATTGAATATATATTATACATTGAGTACAACGCAAAATAGTATTTTAATTAGTTATTAATTATTATGGAAATTAAAAGTCACCCCCCCCCCACTGTTTGATATTTTAACTTTCACGGCGAATTATTATTTTGCAAAAATAACGGAGCACGTGACTGAACTGCATAATGAAAAACTACAACGGGTTAATCGCAAGTTGTGTTATGAAATTTTCTTGAGAAGTTTCCTTAGCTCGTTGTGAATTTTCCAAAGTATAATTTATGCGCTTGATTCTGTTCGAAAGCATAAATCCATTTTCCTTGTGTAGTACCTACTTGTAGTCGATCCATTGTTCTACCACTTGAACATAATCTCCTTGAGCTAGTATTTCAGCGGAAACGAGCATGCATGCGTCTTGAAGAATGAGCAAAGAAAACTGATATCGTAAATTTAAGATATCGTGCAATACGAAATATTTATGTCTGAAACGCATACATAATTTGAAGAGGCATGAAAGATTTGCTTGACCATGTCGAGCATTATAAATTCGTGGATAATTCAAAATAAAACTCAAAAAATGATTTTTATGTAACGTAAGATGCCATCTCTCGTTATCTCGTTGCAACAGAGAAAAATTTTATAGATGCTAGAAAAAGATAGAATTACATATTACAACAAAATAAAATAAAATAAAATTTATAAATTTTCATATGTCTGGAAATAAAACAAAAGAATTCTTGCTGTCCGAGAGATAACGTAATTTTTAAACATGCATAGACGATACTTTTGAGAAAACATTTTGAATAAAATCTCGCGCTCGAGGCAAACGAAATTAGATTGCCATCTCCATCTGTTGAACATCGACGTCCATCGATAGCACAATCTAAACGCACAATCTGTTAGCGTAATAAATAAATATGCATTTTTCTCGTACTTATCGCATCCCGCTCTCTGATATCTTAATGACGACACATAAGGATAGGGACAGTGAACGAGAAATATTGCGAATCAAAGAACGCAAGAACTGGCAAATTTCGGAACAAAAGGCGAAAGGTGACACAGGATGGACAATCAGAAGAAGAAAAAAAGACAAGAATAGAAGGAACGAGTTGTTACGAACAAGATTTGCAAGCGGGATCCGACAATTTCTGCTTGTTATCGCGCATCGATACTGAGGACGGTTGAGAGGGAAATAAATAATACGAGTTATCACAAAGAAATGCAGTTTATTTATCACACCGACAAACTGTAACGCAAACCTATTCGCTAAGGAGAGAGTACAAAATTTATGATAAATACGCGGCATGTGCGTGCGGAGGCGGCCGACCCACGCGGATCGTGCAGCGCCTCTACTTCCCCCCCCCCCCCTCGGGGATGGCCCTTAGGAAGCTCAACACGAAAGCATTGGATTTAAAACTGCTTCGCTATCGGATACGCGCGTTACGCGTATATGTCACGTACGTATGGCGTTTTATATGCAGGCAAAAATGCGACCGCGAAGCTACGTATTTGAATGACACGAGATTACGCTTCGCGGATCGACAAATGTAGGAACAATGGCGCTCGGCCGTAATTACGACTATCACAATGTACAGAAAATGCAGGTTTATCATGTGGATAGCGTGGATAGATAGCTACGTTCATGAACGTTCTCCAGTGATGCCTTTTTACCCGACGGCATTGGTCAGAGGACGCGAAATTGCACGAGTTTCGATCAGCAGTCTTTCAACGAAGGAGTCGAGATATATATATATATATATATATATATATATATATATATATATATTCCTCTCAAATTTCCTATCATAATTTTATCAATCGCTTTCGGCACGATTAATTTATTATGCTCTCTGATTCCGAGATACTTACGAGTTTCGAAAATTAATTGAAATCTGATTGAATTAGTTGGATATTCAGAATCAGAATTCAAATGTGTAATGATATTCGTTATAATATTCACGTTCGTTAATTAAGTAATTAATTAGTAACAACATTTAAACTTTTTTTCTGTTTCAGTGAAAAAAAAGTTAATCAATTTAAAAAGCTGTAATTTCATTTAAAATTAAACATCTCGCAATCTAGAATTAATTTCCAATAAATTACATTTTAAACCAGAAATAATTATAATCTAAGTGTAACGTAAAAGTTAATGATACTTCTATATAGAACAAGCAAAAGATCGAGTAAAGCTTTCCCCTCGGAAAACTGCTACGTCGTCGTTCGCGACAAGACAGTCCCGGTCAGTTTCTGCGTAAGCTCGTGCAAGGTCCACGGTCTTTCAAGGTCCTCAAGGCCGAAACCGAGACGACGCGAGAAACGCGGTGAAAAAGTGCGGGAGGAGCCCGAAAGAGACTCGTACGTGTCTGCGTACGTCAGGGGAGAGAGAAAATCGACGGATTAGAGGAACAGATTCGTTAGAACGCTATAACACAGTACGGACACACAGAAGACGGTGGTTACCATTTGCATCGGTATACTCATATTGGCATCGGACGTTTCCTCGTGCTCGTCGGGCCCTGACTGCTCGGTGCCCTTCGATCGGACAGCAGAATTTGCGACTAATGCGCCATTCTCAACGTTAGTTTTCGAATTTACGACGTCAGTAGTTTGGGAACGAATCGTATTCCCTTGCACACTATCCTCTATGTGATCTTTGCCGATATCGTCGTCGTCGTCGTCGTCGTCGTCGTCGTCGTCGTCATCGTCGTCGTCATCATCGTCATCATCGTCGTCACCTTCGTTAAGTATCACCCACCCGTTCTCGTCGATGTCGCCCGTGCTATCTTCGATCTCGTCGATCCCCATCGTTTCGCTCGCGGACCCGATTTTCGCGACGTCTCGACCTTCGGAGGAAGCTTCAATCGGCGAGGTTGCCCGGTCGGACTCGTTCTCGGACTCGTCGGAAACCAGCCATCCATTTTTACCCAGACTGCTCTGTCTGTACACGCGACTTCTTGGCAGAGCCTCGGAATCTCGTAGTTCGCTCGGCGAGGGAGCCATCTCGGCGTCGTCAACGACGCTCGACTGCACGGAGAAATCTTCGAGATCGCTCGACGTCTCGTCGTGTCTCCCTTCGGCAATTTTTGGAATAATTTCTTCGGTACGTGCTCCTGCTGCGTCATTGACGTCGCCGATGGAGTCTTCAGTCTCTTCGGACGGGCGATCGACGGGATCGCCCGTGGATAGGATCGTGGATACCGTTCGCTGATCAATTTGTAGATCCTGTTGTAGATCTTGTTCCGTGACTACCCAGCCGTTGTCGTCGAACATCTCCTCGATGCTCCTCTCGTCGATTATCGAGGCACTTCGACGCTTCAGATCCCTCTCGTAACGATCGTCAGGCGTCACGCTGCTTTCGCCTCGGGTGTTCGAGCTAACACTCAGCACCGTCGTCTCCTCGTCGCTTTCGGAATTCGAGGAATCCTTATTCTCTTCGCCACTTTCGCTTTCCGCGCTATTTTTACCGCTGGAATTTCTATCGTCCTTCTTCTCATCTTTTTTCCCGTCCTTCACGTTGCAATTTTCATCTCGCGACTCGTCGTCTTCGGCTTCCTCCTCGGAACCACTTTCGGAATGACTCTCCGATTCGCTGTCGGACATCGTTTGCCCACTGACGAAACTTGAACATTCCGAAATGCTTTGAGATTCTTTGGACCTCGAACGATCTCTACGCTCGATCATCTCATCCGTTTGCGTCGTAAGATCCGATACGGGCGCTTCGGCGATAGACGCGTCAACGTCCTCCACGATAAGCCGGAAGGAAACGTCTTCGAAGTCACGCCTCTCGGGCGTCACTGCTTCGTCACTTCCTTTCATCTCAGAGTCATCTTCATTCGCGAGAGTAGATTCGTCCCGGTTGCGATCAGCGGCCGTCAATGAAACCTCGTCGTTCGCGGAACGACCTTCCACTAACGCGTCCCCGTCTTCGGGCGTCGCACTCGCAACTCGACTATCGCCGCGGCTATCCCCGAGACAACTTTCGCTAATCGCGTGGTGGGAAGAGGTGGATGAGGTGGTCGATTTGTCGGTGTCCGTAATAACGTCCGTTTGTGTTGCCGAGCTAGTGTCCGTCGCCGGTGGTTTAAGCGCGTCCCCGTCGGCGTCGATGTTACAAGCGGAATCCGCGCTCGAGTCGGCCGTCGCGATTACTTTACCATTGTCGACACGACCGGCCGAGCACCTTTCGTCGGTACCGTCCGCGCTAAACGTCCTAAAACGATCACGGTCGAGGGGGTTACTGGAATTAGAAGTGGCCTCATCATGAGCAGTCGTTTGATCGTGAGCTACGTGCGCTACGAACCTGCTGGTGTAGCCGCCCGGCGTCGACGTCGTCGTCGTCGCGGCGCCGCCGCCGCCGCCGCCGCCGCCGCCGCCGCCGCCGCCGCCGCTCGGCGTTGTCATCGTCATCATCGTCGTCGCGGATTGAGCGGGGCTGCCCCTCGGAGACGAATACCTGAGACACGAGTGATCGATCGGAACTTTCTCTCCTTATTGGGCGCTTTTTTGGTTACTACTATTTCTAGGGGATAGTTCTTTGGGGATAGTTTTTTTCACCTGATTGCGTTCTTGAAGAACGTGCAATTCATCGGACGACGTAGCACGACTTCTGATAATCTTTCTCTCTTTAAGATTGAGGTCACGTTTATTTCCCAACTGCCACTGGCTGCTAGGTAAGCTTATCGCGCGTCTTCCATTAGGATTGAGACGCGAGATTGCACGATTAATGAGTTATGGTGATCTTACTCTGTGCATTTATCTTATTCTATACATCTCAAGCTGACTCAGCTCTCAAAAGTTAACGAATTTCATTTTCAGTTATATGGGAAATATTTTCTGCGAATGACGATTACAAACTCGATATCTTTCTCGCTTTCCGCTCGGAACGCACACGGAACAGCCACAGATTTATGAAGTTAGATAGAAAACAGAAATCTTTCTATTCTAATCAAAATGATTTTAAACGAAGAATTTGACGATTCTTTAATCGAGCAATTAATTTAAAAAAAATTGATAAAAATAATGGTCGACTAATTCCTTAAATAATAGACGATTCTGCCGTTCTATTACGCGATTTTTTGAGTGCAAACGCGTGCTCGCGGCCGAATTTACACGCCGTAATGTATTGCAATTCATCGCCAGGCTGAGCGGCTAATCAGTTTCCGCAGCGCTACGTGAAAAGTTTTTGATAGCAGCGGGCGTGATAGAGGGAAGGGAACGGGCCACGTGATTCTTTTACAAAAGCCGAAGGGAGTCGCCGGGCCGCAGGCTGGGGAGAGCACTTACGTCTCCGCCTGGTCTCTCCCTATTCTCCCAGCCGTCTCTCATTTCCTTAGGCCACAGTTTCGAGAGAGAGAGAGAATTGCGAGACTGTGTTAGAGGGAAAAGGGATGGATAAGCTTACTTCGAAATTCAGAGCGAGTGAGCGCATTCGTATGCTGCCGAATGCAACGGGAGAGGAACGTCGGGATGCGTGTACGCGATGCTGCCGCTCGTAACGAGAGCAAATAAACACGGTAACACACGAACGAAAGTTCCCGCGATAGTTTCTGCAAGCGGCGAACGTGCAGGTGAAGTCGGCAACAGTCGGATTTTTGATCAACTAAGAGAGAGAGAGAGAGAGAGAGAGAGAGAGAGAGAGAGAGAGAGAGAGAGAGAGAGAGAGAGAGAGAGAGAGAGAGAGAGAGTAGAGTAGAGTAGAGTA